TTGTCTGGGGAACCACAGTGGCATTGGCAGGGAAAGATACTCAATACCTCCCTTGGTAGTGGCTTCAATCTGGGGTGGTCCTAGCCTTCTAAACTTCATTCTTACATGAACTCACATGGCAAAAGTTTTAATAAACTTTATTGAAGTAAATTTTCTTTATGTATGGATACACCCATGTGACCACCTCCCAGGTCAAAATATAAAACATTTTCGTTATCCCAGAAAGTCCTCTTGTGCTACTTCACAATTAATTTTCCTTCCAGAGGTAATCACTATTTTAACTTTTACCATTATAGATTAGTTTTTCTTTTTCTTAAACTTTATTTAAATAGGATCATACAACATAAATATTCTGTTTTGTGCCTGGCTTCTTTGCTCAGGATAATGGTTTCACAGTTTATTCATGTTGTGGTGTGTACTTGTATTTTGTTCTTTCTTATTGCTGAGTAGTGTTCCAAAAAAGATAACCACACGGCCAGTAATCATATAACGAGGTACTCAAATACCATTCGTTATTAAGGAAATGCAAATTAAAACCACAATGTAATGTCAGAATGATTTGAGTTTAAAAGGACTGGCAATGCTAAGTGTTGGTGAAGATGTGAATAACTGGAACTCTTATATATCACTGCATTACTGGTGGAAGTGTAAAATAGAACACTCCTTTAGAAAACTTTGTCAGTTTCTGAGAAAATTAAACAGAATCTACCTTGTGACCCAGCAAGTCCATGTCTATATGCAAAAGAAATGAGTGATTAGATACACAAAAATACATGTGGAAAAATGTCCATAGAAGCTTTATTCATAATGATTCAACACTGAAAATAAACCTAATATTTATCAGCAGGAGAATGAATACATAAACTGTGGTATCCTCAAATGAATATTTTTTGAAGGTGTGCAAAACACACCCCTCACCCTTGGCATCTCTTCCTTTAGTGGGCATGACACCCTTTCCTTGGGGATTCCATTTCTTTCTCAGGTTCCTCTGAAAGCAGGGAGGGAGCAGGGACACTATATATTAATATGTCCCGACCCCAGACACAAGCCCAGCTTCCCCAGTGGCTATCACACTCTAGATTCTAGGTCATGCTGTATTCAACAAATGTCCAATTACATAAACATTTCATGATGCTAGACCACGAACAGAAGATACAAAAATGATTAAGCCCTGATCGTTGATGAGAAGATAGTGACTTACAGGTTGATTCTTGGACTCAGAAAGATTTGTGCTTGAACCCCAAGTCTTATTAGCTATGTACTCTTGGGCAAGTCCAGGTCTCCTCATCTGCACAACGCAAACAATCACAATAGTGCCCACCAAAAGAGCGTCCTAAGAATTAAATGAGAGGATACATGTGAAGCAATGTCCAGTGCTTAGGAGATTTTAAATCAATGCTATTTATTACTATTATTATTATTATTAATAATTTTCTCAACCTAGTGAGGAGATAAAGCAAATAATAAGTAATTATAAACATAAAGCAACGATAAGAGATGCTAAATAAAAGCAAAACATGCTTTGAGGATATTTAGAGGGAGAAGAGGCTGATTTGAACTAGAAAAATTCTGGTGAGTTCTCATGAGACCTATAGAGAGTTATGATTTGTCAGCTTAGGAAACAAGAACTGTGGTTTTAATTTTCATGATCAGAGTGCAGTAAGAGGTGAAATGATGTAAAATAAATAGCATCAGGTTTGAAACACCACACAGCCTTAGATTTGAATTGAGGCTTATCCATTAATTAGCCAGAGGATTTTGGACAAGGAATTTAACTCCTCTACACTTCATTTTCATCATTTGCAAATGATGGCAATTCCTATTTTTAATAGTTATTGAAAATAAAAAGAATATTTATCAAACACCTCACACAACACCAGTTAATGCAGAAATTTTAACAATTATGCATTGTTAAACAATATTACATAAATATTATATTAATATAACAATAATATATTTTAACATATTAACTGACCATGAAACTAAGGGTCCACACACTATTTCTCTGTGAGTGAGGCTTGGGCAGGGGGCAGTTTTTTTCAAAAAGGCAACCTCATGACCAGCCTGTTGGCATTCACATCCAACAATGACTCTTCAGTTGTTATAGGCCTGTAGGAGAATCTAGTAATCCTTTCTGCCAGGAAAATTCCCATACACATGAAAATTTTTGCATTCATTCCAGTGGTTCTAACACTCCCTGAAACACAGTTCATGAAGTTACTGAGTTTCCAGAACCCTCAATAAATAACTTAGCACCAGGGGAGAGAAAAAAAAAAAAAAAAAGCTAAAGTCAAACTTTCAAAGGCAAGTCTTTTAGACTCTCACTCCTGTTGCCTGATGTTTAATTTTTGCTGAATAGGAAGCAAGTTGGCAGACTCAAGTGTAAAGAGTGAACCTGGTTAAAAAAAAAAGCTTTTCTCTGTGATGGCATTTTTTTCTCACTCCAATAGTTTACCAAATTTCAAGCACTGTTAATACTGTGCTAATCTTCCACTGCCGGCAGCTGCCCAGCCCACAGACGAGAGCCCCACTGCTGCGGTGGTCTTGTGTGCTTGTCAGTAAATCCACACGGAGTTGCTTGTCAAACCCCTGCAGCCATCAACACATTTCCTTTCCCCACATGGATATCTACTCAGTACAGTCGAGCCCTGCCCTCACATTGCCAAAGGGCCAGGTTGACTGAGGGATTTTTGAAACAATGTTTTGCCCAGATAGTTTGATACTGTGTGTAAACAGCCTGAACGTTTTGTGAGATGAGATTCTGATGTAGAAAAAAGGGTGCACTTGCACTTAAAATGTCTGTAAAAATTGCTGTGTCTCTCTGAGAATGTCAGCTTTAATTTAATCCTGACAATAGGAAGATAATCAGAAAATCTCAGATTTCCAGTATTTTGCTTCTGTCATCATTATCATCATCATTAGTATCATCACGCTGTTTCTTGCCCATTTGTTCAACTCTCCCTCCCATTCCATTCTCTGCCCTTCTCTATGCCCCCAGAGGCTGATTCCTACAGACGCCATCTCCTGGGCTCCCTCACTGCCAGTTTCCTGATTGGCTTAGTCAATTGGAGGCACAGGGTGGAGCTCAGAGCGTAGGGTGTTTCTTTGCCCTCCCTCCCTGCTTTGCTTACATTTCTAAGAGTAGCTGTCTCCCTTCAATCACAGCTGCTGTCAAGTGGATCTGCTCCAAGAATTCAGCTCTCACTAGAACGCTATAATATTTTCTCTCCTTGTCCCTCAGAACTAAGGGTGGTAACAGCTTCCCACTATTGCTAATCTCTGGATGCTGCAGCACCTCTGTATAGTTTCCTGACTTTGCTTGTTGCACATCCTTCTGTGAATGTCTCTGATACTGTCATATGTAATATCATCTTCTCTACGGCTGTTATTTTATTGATTGCTCCTCACTGTGCTGAGTGCCCCAAAACACATACTCATTTAGCCTTCACAAAAATTCCAGTGGGAAAGTATTTCACAGATGAGAAAGCCAGCTTAGCAGCTTTAAGGATCTTATGCCAGGTAACACAACTAGGAAGTGTCAGAGTCAGAATTCAAACCCAGCTCTTGCCACTCCAAAGTCTGTTTTTAACCACTGCCAACAACTCTGCAACACGACCCACATAAGAATCACCTGAAGTGTTTGTTGAAAATCCAAATTTTAGGAAACTTGCCCAGACTCCCCTTTCTGAGGAAGCTATCTCTAGGGTTTCACTTGAGCAGTGAGACTGGCTCAGGGTCATCGCGTGACCCACAGAAGATGATTGCATGGGGTAACTGACAACCTACGGGGTGAACTGGCACTAAAACTCTGACCAGCATGGGCAACGGTAATTAGTAAGACCAATCAAACTCTCCCCTGCATCCCAAATTTGAATTAAAAATGCTAAGGAAATTAATGAAGAGGTAGAGGGAAGAGAAAAAAGAAAACTCACAAAGAGAAGCAGGCAATGGGAGAGTGACATACATGGTCATTTGATGGTGGAGCAGTGACCAGTGAAGTGAAGCAGCAATAAGACAACAGAGACCCTGGAGCCTATCATAGCCTGAATAGTGATTATTCTTAGCTTCTCTTGAGAATTCTAGCTCTTCTCACCCATCAGCTCACCAGTGACTTATGCAATTGTTTGACATGTCTTTCCTGAACTGGACTCATTTGGCTGAGCTGATACATCCTCTCATTTTTACAGAAAGGGCTCTAAGCTACCAAAAGTGAAATAGCCTCCTATCGGCCTTGCTACATTTATCCTGTCCACCTCTCTAAACCATTACTCACATTGAAGTTGGGGTGATCTCTCAAAAATGTAAATTTAACTTCATTAACCTCCTTGCTTAAAATACACAAAGGACTTCCTATTCTTTTGACATACAGTAAAAAAAAAAAAAAATCCTACAGTGACCTACAAGTTCCTACATGGCCTGGCCACCAAGTCTGCTCTTCAGCCTCAGCTTGAGACACACACACCCAATCTCTCTGGTTCAGTCATGCTGGCCTTCTTTCAGTCCCTTCTGATCACCACATTCCCTCCTGCCCCAGGGCTCAGCACAGGCTATTCCTTCTGTCTACAATATGGATCCCTTATCCTTGCGCCTAGTTGCGCCTAGTTAACGCCTACTCATCATCAAGCATCACTTCCCCAGGGATGCCCCACTGACTCCCTGACTGATGTCAATCTCTTGGCATCTGCCTTGCATAGTATTATTCACAGGTGTGACTTTTTGTGCAATTACTTGTTTAATATCAGTCATTCCCACTAAACTCCCTGAGACCAGGGTCTACATCTGATTTTGCTCACTGTTGTTTCCCCAGCAGCTTGTACAGTGCCTGGCTCGCAGTAGGCATGAAAGTGTTTGTTGAATGATTTGATGTCTACATACAATGACGCTGTGGAAAGTTCTTCTAGACATGCAATCGTATAGTTGTCATGGAGTGAATGACAATAGTAACAGTGGGCAAGTGGCTGTTGCTTAGGAAGGACTGACACAAAACAGAAGACAAGAGAATGGCTGGCTGTATGCACAGTACCTAGCACAAAGCTCTCCACTTGGAAGGGGATCCCAATCTTCGTGCAGCCCCAACATCCACCTGAGCACCTCAGAAAATGCCCAAAAGGTCAGTGGCACTTGGCTGTCTTTTATTGAGTTTCATTTAAGCTTGTGGATATATTTCCAAAGAGTTTATGTCAACAGCTTTAAAAGCCAAGTTATTGCCAGTTTGGTGCCTATTACCTACCCTAATCCAGCTTTAAACTGACTTGGAAAAACAAAGACAACAATCTTGCAGCCTTGACTGCAAAGTGAAAAGATGGTGCAATTAACGCAAATGTCTTTGATTGTCCTTGAGAAACATTTGTGAATCAAAATTGGTAATGACTTACCTGTGTAGCATATTCTCTGAAATTATCCACAACAGAGAGAATTGTTTTATATTATTCAAATGTGTAAAGTTAGGTTTAATAAATGAAAAATGTTCTTTCTCATATAATTTCACTTAGGAGACTGGCTTCAGTTCCAAAAACCTTTTGTGGACACCTAGCAAGTGCTAGGTACTCTACAAGGCCAGGGGAAGGAGATATGGAGATGGACTGCTTAGTGCTTGCTTCTCAATGATGGCAATAGAAAGAAATACATGCCATGTTTCAAGTGCACATTGTGCAAAGTGAAACGTCCTTCATTTTATAAAGGAAATAATAATGGTGCAGAGGTTGTAGAAGAGCAGGAGGCACTCACCAAGAAGACCATGAAGGGTTCAAGATAACACAGGTCCAACTTTATAATGTTACAAGTGAAAAAAATGAGGACCCCCAAAGACAAAGTTCCCTCAACTGGTTAATGCCAAAACCAGATCCTGAATTCAAAATTTCCTTTTAAGGAGTTATCTGAGGTATTACAAAATTCTATTCTTATTGGCTTTCTCTAAAAACACTCCAGTCATTAGGGGTTGAAAAATCAAGCAAACTTTGATTTGCTGTTGATAAGGGAGCAAGATACAACTTCCTGCCTCCAATCTGGCCCCTTTTCAGTCTACTTCTGATATAATCATGAAATAATTTCCTAGACTGCAAATCTGATCACGAGATTCCTGTTGCACTTAGGATAATAACTGGCATCCTTCATAAGACCTCCAAGGCTTAATATGCCCTGGCCCTGCCTGGCCTTTGATCACTATCTCCTTCTTTCTCTAGGTTCCACCCACACTATACCTTCTCTAGTTCTTCAATCATATTGTGATTTCTGCCACATCAGGCCTCAACACATAAGTTCCCTCTGCATGGAACACTCTTCCTCCTTCTTCACTACTGATTCATTAGGCTCAGGCAGAATGCCATTACCCTGACTGTAGACTAGGTTAGTACTTCTTTGCCCTCTCTATGTGCTCGCCATCACTTTTTATCGAGTTACCTGCCTAGTAAACTGTCTTCCTTTCTAGACTAAGCCCCAAGAGGGTAGGAATGTCTGTATCAGTCACTCATACATTCCACACCTCAGCATAATACCCAGATGCTTAGTTAGGAAGGCTAAGCTGCTGGAACAAAGAAACTTCAAAGTCTGAGCATTTTACAGAACGTGAAGTTCTTTTTTCTTTGTCATGTGACAGTCCAGAGTGGGAGTTCCAGGTCTGTGGCAGTTTTACTCCATGCAATCACGTGAGACACAGGCTGATCAGAATGTGGCTTCTAAAGTCTTCCTGATAATTTCCCCCTTAGTCAGCTTGAATGGGATACAGCATGGAGGAGCTTACACAGAACGTGTTCACTTCTTTTCTGCTCCATTTCCATCTGGAGGAACTCAGTCATGTAGCTGCAAAACTACAAGGAAAATTGAAATATGTGGGCTAGCTGGCCAGCCATGTGCAGGCATTTCTTTACTATGTGGCAAGCAGAAAAAGGATTTTGGAAGACAGATGACTGCTCCACTAAAATGTCAGAGAATATTTATCAAAATAAATAATTTTTAAATTGTTGTATTGCTCTGCTTTAATGCTGATGTCAATACCCCAACTCCCAGAATCATTATATTTCTTTCATTTTTTTGGCAGCATTTCAATACCCAAACAACTGGCTTCAGTGAAAGGTAAGGCACAGATGACTGAGATGTACATTTTTATCCTCTACCAAGATGGCATGCCAAGTGTTAAAAAAATAATAGGATATCAGAGAATGCCAGGGATGTAAGGGAACTTTTGAATAAATCATCAAACATTCACGATGTTCTTTTTGAAGATCTGGGAACTGAGGTCCAGGAGTAGGAATTAACTTGCCTAAACTTATACAGCTCATTAAAGACAGAGTTGAGATGAGACCATGGATCCCCTGGTTCCTAATTCAGTGTTCTCCCCACCATATCCAGTTGCATCTCCAAGGGCAGCATCCTCAGAATGTCTAGAGCGGGAC